TGCATTGCTGTGCCCTGCCCTGTTCTGCCTTTATTATTGTTTCGATGTCGTCAAGTGGTCCAGCACCCCCCCCCCCCCCCCCCCCCTCAGCGGCTCTGGCCTCCCCTCCTCGGAGATGCACCTTCAGTCTTCCAGGGCTGTTGGCGGCTATTAAGTCCAGACTCGCGGCAGACCAAGCCCCAAATACGTTTGCGCGAATAGCTACATGCAACATACAGGCGGTGGTGGTACACAAGCAGCAGCTTGCTGACCTACTGCATAGCTATGGCAACACAAAACAAGAATCAGATGAGGTAATGATATGGGATGGCGGCGCGGCAGCTCAGCTCGGCCCCTCGTCTAGCCCATGGGATGAGAGCAAGCAAGACCAGGCCAAGACCAGACCCGCCCTGACTTGGCATGCGAGCCGGTCCGCAGATTCGAGAGGGCAAAGGCCCGGCCATCCAGGAGGCCATATCACGATCCTGCGCCCTCTGCGCCCATGCCAGCCAGCCCGAGCTTTTCACCTTTCTCGCGCTCAGCCGTCGCTTGCATCCAGGAGTCGCGCCTTGATCGTCCAGCTTGGACAGGGCTTCTTGGGGATCCTCGCCCGGGCCGCGTTGTGGACCCTCGGCAGCTCACAAATAGCCCAGCCCGCGGAGTGGTCACGAATCGTCAGCCCGGCTGCGACAACAGCCGCAAACAGATCCCCCTAGACAGCCCATCTTGTCCTGCCTCTCCGGCTGCTTGAAAGAGCCCCCATGAAACAATAAGATCTGGTCGCCTGACGCCGCCTACGTCACGCTGGCGCCGCGGATAGCCAGCCGCCCAGGACCAAAAAAGGCATCTTCAGATAGCCTGTAGAGCGAGCCCTAGACCCCAAATCGCACATCTCAAAATCTCACATGGCAGCGTGGCCATGGGTCCGATTGGTTGCTTCACCCACTTCCTGGCATGGGGAAGCCACAAGTACCTACAAGCACGGGTGGCTAGCCAGTGTGAGTGAGTGACTGACTGCCTGGAATCAAATGCGTGGGGAAGCTGTGCAAGGCTGCTGGGGGAGAAAGGAGCTTGCAGGTACCTCGTGCGGATGCCGCCTTGACCGTATCATCTAGCCGTGTTACACGTCGGAGACTATTGGGCGCGAGTGCTACTCTGCCATTGCTGCTACCGTACACGGACTATTGTATACAGGGCCTGTGCCTGGCCTCCAGCTCTGAGCCATCACCGTTGTTTATCACACCTGCTGCCGTTACCAGGGGGGGTGTACAGTATGCCATGCCTCTCTACGGCATTGTCAGGTTTGTCCAGGCCAGACGGGGTCAGCCCTGGATTACTGTACATGCGATACATCGTCTACTTCGTAACAAGGCGCGCGCGCGCGCGCAACCCCCCTTCGCAACTAGGTAGGAGGAGCTCCGCACATCCCTCCCTCTCTTTGACGCGGTTTCGTGGCTGTTCGCAACAGGCCCATCTCTAATCCTAGCTCGAGCGCTATGAGCCACGGCGGGCCGTTCCCACAGACGATGCATACCGCGCTGTCGGGATCCGAGAGTGTGCCAGACCAAAAACAGTTCCCACGCTATCACGACTTGTGCTCAATATTACAAGTTGCCGGCGCTCTACTCCGTAGATGCCACCGTTTGTGCCGGTCCAGCTCCGTAAACGAGGCCTCTCAGGTTGGGGAACAACACAGCGGTGCTCACGGTCGACAAAAGCTGCCAATTAACTGGCCACGATGAGGGGGCTTTCAAAATACCTCATTCCCGCCGTCTAACATTGCTTCCCAACCTCATGTCGTGTGACACCAGCAGGTCTAGCGTCTTACACCCACAGCAAACTCGCGTAAAATGTGAAGAGGAACGTTGTTGCGCACTGCGGCGGCAGCTCTGCCACTTCCTACGAGCACTCTCCAAAAAAAGAAGGGCGAAAAAGGGCAAGAGAAGCAAAAGAGCGAGTCCTGAGCGGGGATCTCACCCAGGCCCCCTCATGGCAGCCTCTCATTGCAGCTCTGTATCAATGCGACATGCTAGGGCTGCATCCATCGTCGTCGCAGTTTTCCTGGGGGGCCAGACAAACGCGCCCGTCATTATGCAAGAAGCCAACTTGGACCTTTCCTCCGATGTTCATGGAGTACTCAGCCTTTTGCTTGTGCATGCTCGTACATGCCTGTATGGAGTACAGCTGACGGCTATCAAGCAGCAAGGCACCAAAAACGCTCGATATCGCATCAGCCACAGGCTTGGCTCTGCATCTCGCCCTTCTGACTCACCCCATTCGCCGGACCCCAGGGTACTTGACTCTACTTTGGTTCCATGGGAGCTCGCTCGCCCGATGGAGCTAGTTGTACAAGTATGTGATGGACGGGGTGCGTGTGTGCGTCAGGGTAACCTACCCCGACCACCAGCTGAGCAGGGATGTGCTGTATGAGACCAATCAATCCCACAGTCAATCTCATCGGGTAGAGAGAGTTCTCCATGTAGGGATCATGCGCCTGTGTTTCCGGCATGCTGAGTGAGGAAGCCTGCAGGCCACAAACTCCGTTTCCAAGGCATCCTGTACGGGCTCAGCACATCTTGGCGACGCATGATGAGGTCGATCATCACCAGACTCATTGCGCAAAACGGCTGCAGCGCCCCTCTTCCTCATGCAGGAGGGGCGAATAGTCAAAGGTTTGGCGAGCAGGGCATCGACTCTCTCTCGACACCCATCTACCCACTCGCCGGTGAATGAGTGGTTAGCTTAGCGAGGCGACGAAAGCTGCGAACAGCTGCAGGAGCTCCGGAGTATGCTCCGTATAAAGCCCATCATTGGGTGACTTGGGTGGAAATCCAACCACTCCCGGTGCCGTCAAATCCGCAACTTATGTACGGAACACACTCTGTATTACGCTCTTATGCGTATATAGCGAACCAAGTGTTACAGGCAGCGATCACACACAACACACACATCTGTCGACATGCATGAGCGTGGGAAGTGATGGATGCGAGAGCAACTTACTGCCTAGCCTATGTGTCACGGCATACCTTGGGCATGCCTACATGTACATGTACAGACCTTGTATACGGAACAAGGCGAAGAGGTTCCAGGCCGGCACAACCGGGGGGCTTGAACAAGAATGTTTGTGTGAATTGCAGCAGCCCTGGTGAGAAGCAATGCGTTGGTTGCTGTAATAACAAACCACCAAAAGCGGCAATTGGGATGAGAGCAATGCACCTCGTACTTTCGTATCGCAAACGCAGGCCACCGGCCAATCTTACCTGGTCGAAAGCTGAAATCCGTTTTTTGCCAGGAGATAATATCGAGGCAAATTGTGCAGATACAGTCAGCCAAGGTAATCTCAAACAGCTTTGTCGACATACAAGGACGGCGTAAATACCTTTCTGCTCGTACTTTTATGCGCCGCAACCGTCACTTATCGACTTTTTCTGCGCAAAATGACACATCAGGCTCGTCTGACTCTACAAATATTACCAAAAGGGTGATTTGTATCAAAAAACCAAGACTCGGCTGACAGTCCTGCATGCATCGCAATTGGCCTACCTCCTGTGCCTCAACCAATTTGTTCAAACACACTTGCTTACAAACGCCTTGCCCCGTACGGAGGGTTATGCGGAGTACTCCGTAATACGGAGCACATGTCTACTTCGATGCCTGTCCAGAGTACAGGCAGGCATGCCAGGAGCAGCAGTCCCAGAAACATGATCCTCGTCACAGATCCCGGGGCTTTGCGCAGGCCCTAGAACCAGGAGCACAACGTATGTACGAATACCGACAATCGGTACCGGTGTCTATTTGTACGGAGCATTCATGGGCCGCAGACTCATGCCCACATACCGTGAATGCCCGCTCTCGTCATACCTAGGTATCATTCTTAGTACCAAATACAGACAGATATACGCCAGCAAACGCGCAAGTACCGAGTACAGGCCCTGTGTATACTCGTACGGCTACGTCGCAGGGTAGATATCGCCGTGCGGCTGGACGCGTTTGCAGATCAACGGCAGTTTGATTGGGCACGACCTGGTACGAGAGCGCTTCCCCCCCCCTCGTCGCGTATCAGCCCATCTGGTTCAGGACAATCAATTCGAGAGTCGATAATGTGCGAGCCGAGGATGGGATGACTGCAAAGCTCTACCCGGTCGCAATCCTGCGAATGCACAAGCGAGTTCTCATCGTTGGTTCTCGGCCGATGGCAGATCCTCCAGTACTGCTGCTGCTGCTTCCATTTGCAACATGTTCCGGCGTCCAAAGGAAGAACAAAAGGACAGGGAGAGTCGACCAGCCTTGTGACCGCTTATGATCACGAGGCGATGAAGTTCAAACGCACTCCGTAATGGAGCAGGCGCAAGGGCCAGGTTCGTATCGGTCTATTGCGCGGCCCCTGCCCCCATCGACAAGGGCTTTGCCTTTACGCCCGCGCCTAGTCATACTGTAGAGTGCATTGGCGGTCGATCTTGAAGAACCAAGTGCTGCTGAGAATGGCGTTACGAGGGGGCTTGCAGACCGTGCAGGTATGCATGTACCGTATCTTGGTCTCTGGTCAAGCACTGTTATCACAAAGTCTTGTTGGCACCAGGAATCCTTCGCGACTTTCTGGGAAAATCTTAAAGTACGTACACGCACGCAGACATGGGTCTTGAACAGCACCACGACGAGCGAGTCGCCCAAGTGGCTTGCCGCGAAGCAAGCTGGCCTGGCTGACTGTGGACCCCAAATCCTAAGGATCAGAAGCACGATCACGTAGGAAGCAGCATCCAAGTTCACGATTCGTCTGGTGCATACCGAGTAGTATCGTACAGGTACTGGTGTTCGTGCGGAATACCACCGAGAACTCAAATAATGATACTCGATTTAATATCAAGCGTTAGCCGAGACAGGTGTGATGGTGGCATTATCCTTTAGCACGGATTCGACGACACTTGCATGCGACGCATGGCCGTGCATTGATTCATTCATGCTGCAAATGGAACCGCGTGCAGATCACACCAGCAGCTACGGCAATGGACGTTGAATCGGCATGCGAGAGTCAGTCCACCGGGTGCACCAAGATATTTCGAAACAGGACATTTTCATCCAGCCATCCGAAAGGCCATGGCAACATCATTCACACCCCACAGAATAGCTCTCGGAGGAATCTGACCTAAAACGTTGCTGCAAAACTGCCTATGAACAGGCGTTGCAGCCGAGACTCGATCGACCGTAAGGCTGATCCTAGATGATTAGAAATACGGTTCTCCATACACCGTCTCCGTCACAATCTTTCCAGGTCCATCGTGGCTTTGACGGGACTGGCCGCTCAACCTTCATCTCGCCTAATCGCCAGAACTCCTCCTCGGGAGCCATGGGCGTGTGTGTGTGTGTGTGTGTGTGTGTCGAGTGATATCTCCAACCCAGACCGTTCGACATCCAGAGTGCAACCCACACACGGTTTGTAACCAACATTATCTTGGCTAGGGCATCCTTGCGGTTAGTGAACGAATCAACGATATCGCTTCGCTACAGCTGGGCCACGGACGCCAATGCAACTGCATCTTTTGGTCGTACGAAGATGGCCATGTGACGCATACAAGAATGGTGCGCTCCTACATACCTACCCAGCATTTAGGCATTCAAGCATACTCGTAGAGTACATACTTGTACATGTACTCGTACAGATCCAGGAAGAAGAGCTTCGCAACACCTACTCCGTACCTCCCAGGCTGGACGATCAATC